CCCCAAAACCCCAAAACCCCAAAACCCCAAAACCCCTGGCATCATGCATTTGTTGAAACCTCATGAATCATAAGTTGTTACTCCTTTGATAGTAGAGGGTCAATGACAATCTTTTGTGTTCCATTCTAAAATATTAGACAATGGTAGATATAACTTTACCTTATTAAACAAGATATTGCTTTTGTTGACTTTTCGTTTCTGAGTTCTTCGGCTAGTTTTCGGACTTGATCCACCATCAGATCTCTTTTGTTTTAGTTTTAGTTTCTTTGTTGAAGATTTGTGGTTTCCTCTATTAAGACCTAACTGCTTCTTAGGATCAAAAGTGCCATATAAGTTTGTTTTATCGTCAAAATTAAAACTGTTATTTAGGATGTCACTAGTATCAACAATCTTTTGTCCAATATTTTTCGGAATTTTGATATCAAAAACATCTTTATTAATCCATTCTGGTTCTATAATGACTCCTTTTTGTTGTCAATGATCTATATTTCTCAAAAGCAAGTGCGCAGTCATGCTTTGGGCTTCCTGAGTGAACCCATAATTCCCTCTCAGCTCTATACAGAGCAAGCTCTGATTATGCTGAAGCTTTGATATAAAGGTCTTTAAGCATTCTGGTTCTATCTTATTATATCACAGATCAATATGTCTCAAATATTCATCATAGACAACCCACTTTTTCAGCTTTTTCATAAAAGATTTCCCAAGTTGATTTCTTCGAAGAATAATCGATTTCATGCCAACTTTATCTATATGGTTGGGAAATTCATTCCTAAGCCCATATGCCCAAATGAGATCATCTCTTTTCTCAGTTTGGGCCTGGATGAGCCTCACTACAAGGCCTCCAAAATCATCGGTGAGATTATTATCCCTCAAATCAACGGTTTGGCATGTATCACATCTTGAAATAGCTTTCTCAAGGCTCTCTAGAATCTCCTGAGTCATGATGCATTTGTTGATAGCAATCGTCTGGATTGTGCCAGACTCTCCAATATATTTAAATACCTGCTTCCAAGAGTCTTTGCCAAAGTGAATTCCTCATATCTGAAATTTTAATAGTCTTTTATTATTCACTAAGTTTGGAGCTAACCCTGAGATTAAGCCCTTATTGTACTTAGGAAGGATGGAAAGAGGTTTACGCTTCATCATTATTTCTGGAGTCCTTTTCACTCTTTTATCTCTGGGGAGTATAGCTACCTTCATCCTTCTATTTGTCCAAATAATGATCAAACTCTTCGATATCTATTTCATCAATGGATAAGACTTTACCTTCAGGATTTCCATCATCTGAGAAAATTGAAATATGAGCTACAAGAGTGAGATCCGTTAGGATCTCACTACAAAGCTCAACTTTCCCTTTACTGATAGAGTCGAGAGGAATCCTGATGCCATCATTCTTTACTCTATAGTTGATGGATAAGACATTACATAAGACCTCAGAGTTCCTTATATTCAACCCTCTGTCGTTCATTAGTGTACCGTTTGATAGCACTCTGCTTGATCTTCCTCTGAAGCAACTTGAAAATAGTATTAACTCCTTCCTGAAGCAGCAACAGATGATCAGCTTTGCTGGTAATCTGTAAGTCTGTAGTGTTAGATCTGTAGTTGAGACTCAATTTAGACCTGCTGGAGGATAATTTCTGAGAATTCTTCCTTCTATTAGTAGAGAGATTGTTCCTCCTAGCCAGAGGTTTACTATCCTCCTTCATATTTTCAATCGACTGAGACGTAGACCTAGTCAATGGCTTTCGAAGAGAAGCAGAAGTAGGCCTCTGCTCTGTATTTGTCCTGAAAAATTGGTTTATTAAATACTGATTCTTTTGAGTATCCCCATTCAGAAGCTTCTCACCGTCAAGATCTTGCCTATATTACAGATTTTTCTCTAATTAATGCACAGTCAAGGCCAAGCCAATACAGCAGAAAGTTTTTGTATGTAAAAATCCCGACCCCAAGACTAAATTCTAAATCCACCATACTTTTGTTGGACATCTTGGAAGGGATCCTTAGTTCCGGAATATTCTTGACGGTTGGCCCTCTTCAAAGGTCTCTTGATACTCTTCTTCCTCTTATTTCTGATTGAAAGGCTTTAGCTTTTTAATGAGGAGGTCTTGTGAAGCCTGGTTCTGAAGCAGCTTTTCAATAGCAATTTGTTGGAAAGCAGGGTTATCTAGTAACATGAGCTCATTTTTAAACTTAGGCTATAAGAGAGGTGAGGATTTATATTTAAGGTGTTGGGATTTGAATGAGAATTAATTATTTTTGAAGAATTTCGTTCTTTGATTGTAGTGAGGTTTTAGTATGACAGTTTAAAGCTGTCAAAGATGAGCTGCATCTTGAGAAAGATCATGTTATTGATTAATTCAATTCATTTCAAGGACATGGAAATATTTTCATTTTTGTTGTTTAAGCATAAATTTGAATAGAGAGTAAGTATTGCTAATACCGATAAAAATGGTATATAAAAACTAAAACTATCACTTCAATCAATAAAATTTCTTAAAAGCTTTCCATTCGCTCTAGGATTTTTTTGTTTACCTTAACCACACCTTTGTTCTTCCTTGGTGTGCTCTTCGCTCTCCTAATATTTCTCTTCACAAAATCCTTCTTATCCATTTCCAAAATAAAACCTATAACAATTCAATTATTTTCTTAAAATTCGGGGTTTTGGGGTTTTGGGGTTTTGGGGTTTTGGGG